TCCAAGATTATCTTCTGTGTCTGTGTTAATTGGTTTCCCTTTTCTTTGTTGAAGAGGGTCTGTGCAATCCTTCTGCCTAGTCCGCCATCTTGCCAGAACCCCCTAATTTAATATTCTTGCTTTAAAGTTTTGTCTACTAAATCAATTATCTTGGCTTCCTAAGGGATAATTTCTGTCACTTTATTTTGTTCTTTTGAATGGGCCATTCTTCCCTGTTTCTTTATATGCCTTGTAATTAAAGGGGGGGGGCCTATATTGTAATGTGCTAACTCTGAAATCAGATTCTTTCACATGGTTTGCTTTTTAATTGATTGTTGAAGGCTGTAGTAATCCATTTGATTAGTGACTTCCCCTAAGTATTTTTGGAAAGACTCCCTTCCTGGTTATGTGTAGTCATTGAAGTCTCTGCTCCTTACTTTAGATTCAGCTAATGTTTTCACAGAAATTTCCTTGGATGCCTGGATGCAGTGGTAGGGATGATTTAACAATACAAAAAACAAAAGATCACCACTCCCAGTCTTTGTACATTGGCTTGTATCAGAATACTCTTTGAACACTTAGCCAAGCTTGCATTGAGCCTAGAGATAAACCCAAAGTGAAAATACAGCATCCTCCCAGGTATTTTATGAGTGTATGTCTTGTTCTGGTCATGTATATATGCTATTTCTCAATACCCCCATATATGCAGATGCTTCTAATGTCTTAATTTCCCAGAGAAACTATCTGAGTTTTACTCCCAGACCTTAGGGTGCCTATTGTATGTTTTAACTATAATCTTTTACTCAGGCAGCTGCAGGTGTTGGTTCAGCTTGCAGTTTTCCCAAGCAATGCTCGTGTCTTTTCCAGCCTGAGTTCTGAATCAGGCACAACAGAGACCAGCTCCTGTGCCTGTCCTTCAGGAAACCCCAGACAGGTTAGAACAGACTGACCCAATAGTTTTTGAATATGGTCTCCTTTGTGGCCTGTGGAGCCAGGCACCAGAGGCCTTCTCTGAAAATGCAGCTGCCACTGCTTTAAGACTGCCACTAAGCCAGGGAGGAGGTGGGCCATGGCAAGTAGAAAATGTCACAGAACTTTTTTACTGTTTTGAAGTCACCTTTTTCCTTGATTCAGCATTTGCTTGTCTACTATAAAACTTTTTACTGGTTTTCTGGGTTCTGACAAAGTTCATTCTGCCAGTTTATAATTGTTTTTTGGTGTTTCTGTGGCAGGACAAGAGTGTGTGTGGAGCTGTTCACATTGTGAACTTGCTTTCTACATGGTATTTGTAATAGTCATATATAACTCCTTTTAATAGCTACATAATAGTCTTTTATATTAATATACTACATATATATATATATATAGAGAGAGAGAGAGAGAGAGAGAGTTATCTTAGTCATTTTTTAGTTGAGTATTTGTCTTCTATAAAGTGAAATAGTCTTATTATGGATATCTTTGAATACAGTTGTCCTTTTCGGATTATATTTTTAATATGCTTTTCAAACTGTATGTTTTAATATAAAACCAAAAACTAAACTCACTGCCATTGAGTTACTTGCAACTCATAGTGACCCCTCCTTGGGTTTCTGAGGTGGTTGGTGTCTCTATGAAAGTAGATTGCCCATTCTTCCTGAAGAGGAGTGGCTGGTGGGTTTGAACTGCCAGCCTTCTGGTTAGCAGTCAAATGCCTTAGGCACTATGCCACCAGAGCTCAAATTTCACATACCACCAAATATTTCACCATAAAATCTGGACCATATGTCACCAGTAGTGCATAAATATTATGTAAGTATTATTAAGTATTTCTTGAGAAAATGGTCCTATCTTCTGGATTTTTTTGTATTATATGTACATAATACCTAATAACAACAACACACTGCAGTCGAGTCAGATCTGACTCATAGTGACCCCTCCTTGGGTTTCTGAGGCGGTATTGCTACAGAAGTAGATTGCCCAGCCTTCCTTCTGAGGAATGGCTGGTGGGTTTGAACTGCCAGTCTTCTGGTTAGCAGTCAGATGCTTTAGGCACTATGTCACCATATTAGGGAGCTCTGGTGGGGTAGTGGTTAAGGTAATTGTGGCAGCTAACCAAATGGTCCCTGGTTCGAGCCACCAGCCACTCCATGGAAGAAGGATGAGACAATCTGCTTCTGTAAAGATTTATAGCCTTGGAAACCCACTGGGGATCTCTGACTCAGAATTGACTCAATAGCAGTGAGGTGTTGTTTGTTTTGTTTTTGTTTTTGTGGTTCATGAATATGGAAACTGGCTGACTGAAGTGCTGAAATACTAGAATACAGCAAATTATTTGAGTATCATCTGGTGGCGTAGTGCCTAAGCCATTTGACTGCTAACCAGAAAGCCAGAATTTCAAACTCACCAACCACTCCTCTGAAGAAAGATTGGGCAATCTACTTCCATTGTTATATTCCCTCAGAAACCAAGGAGGGGAGGTCACTATGAGTTGGATCCAACTTAATGGCAGTGAATTTGATTTTTGTTTGTTTGTTTGTTTGTTTGTTTGTTTGTTTTTGGTTATATAATGCATAAGCATTGTGTAAAATTAGAATATGTAAGTGAAAAAGAAAGAAAATACAACTAATTCCATCACCGAGACACAACTGTTGATACACTTTTCCAAGAACTATTTTTCTGTAATAGTGTACAAATCTATTACTCCTTTGATTATTATTCCATAAGTAGACTACAAATCTGAGGTGCTAATTTGCAATGTGTTGTCATGTCCCCTTGCCAAAGCTAAGCTTCTGTCATGTCTTCTGCTTAATTCTAGGTCTTTCTCCCCCTACCAGAGGACAGGCTTATATTAATGGATATGACATTTCTAAGGACATAGCTCAGATTCGAAAAAATTTGGGCTTCTGCCCACAGCATGATTTGTTGTTTAATGACTTGACACTGTCAGAACATCTTTTTTTTTACTGTACGGTAAGTTAGAGATATGTTTGTTTTTGTTTTATTTTTTAATTATTATATAGTAAATTTGAATTTTTATGTACAGATCTATGACTATTGATATATGTATAGATTATTGTAACCACCACCACAATCAGAATACAGAACAGTTTCATTACCCCAAAAAACATCCCCGTGCTATTGCATTATAGTCATACCTTGTAACAACTGATCTCTCTTCCATCACTGTAGTTTTGCCTTTATAACAAAATTAAAATGACTTGTAAGAAATGATCTCTTCTCTATCACTATAATTTTCTTTCTCAGAATGCCATATAAATGGAATCATACAGAATGTAACTTTTTGAGATTGGCTTCTTTCACTCAGCATAATGCCTTGATATCTATTCATGCTGTTTCATTTATCAGTAGTTAGTTCCCTTTAGTTCCTCAGTAGTAGTCCCTGGTTAGATGTATCCCAGTACAGCAGTTGAGGAAATTTGGGTTATTTCCATTTTGGGGTGATTATGAATAAAGCTGCTAGGAGCATGCATTTACATTTTTTGTGGTAACATA